CTTTAAGAAATCGGGTTCGGGGGTGGGAATGGGTAATGCAATCCCCACCCCGTCCCTGTCCCCGTCCCGACTTTATATTTAAACTTAAATTCTAAAATATTAACTCTTTGTCTGTTTGTCTTCTTTTCTTTTTTTAATGTTAATTATATTTAAATTTAAATCCTGATATATAACCCTCTGTCTTTTCATATTACCCTTAGTCTTTTCACATTATTACTCTTAGTCTTTTCACATTACCCTTTTTGTCTTCTTATATTACCCTTTATCTTCTCATTACGTAGTGTGTTCCTTTCCTTCACTTTACTTCCATTTATTCTTAATTTCTTTGTCTTTTTGAATCTCTTCACAACTAGTCTTAGTTCAACTCACATTTGGCTTCTCCTACCTCTTTACTAGTTTGAGTTCTCTGATCAACTTCTTCAGTATTTTCAACCAGTTTATCGAACGCATAAGGTAATTTTTTGTTTATTTATCTTTTTCTAAATATGTACATCAATGTATCATTTTATTTCTAATTTGGTTTTATTAGGTTTTTGTTATATCATGTTTTCTGGGTTTACTATTCTTATTTATTATATATCATATCTTATGTTAATTAAATAATTATATTTTTTTATCTTTTATGATCAATTTAAGTCTTATTTTAGAAGAAATAAACAGAGGATTTTTTATCTTTAGGCAATCAATAATACATGTCTTGTTTATGGTGGTAGGAAGTTTTTTTATATACAATGGAAAATAATGAAACAACACAAGCAAGTATGCATGAATCATTGTTAAAAGAAAATTCTAACCTTGAAGGTCCTACTCCTACACCAAATGAAGTCCCACCAGTAACTAGAGATAATGAGCATGATGAGACTATATCATTAGGATCAAATCGGCTTAAAAGTAAGATTTGGCAACATTTTCAAAAGATTCAAGTTAATGGAGAGGACAGAGCTAAGTGCAATTATTGTAAGAAACTTTTGGGAGGAAAATAAAAAAATGGGACGAAACACCTTTGACAACACAATGATAATTGTATTCAATTCAAGATTTCTACTACAGGGAACAAAGGACAAATATTTCTTACCCCTAAAGTTATGCAAGGTAAACAAGAGTTGGGTACAAGAATTTATGATGCAGAACATGTAAGAAAAGAACTTGCACATGCAATTATTATGCATGAATATCCACTTTCAATTGTAGATCATATGGGTTTCAAGAGATACTCATATGCTCTCCAACCAGTATTTCAAGTTCCTTCTAGAAACACTATTAAAAAGGAAATATTCAAAGTCTATAAGTCTGAGAAATCAATAATTTTGAAGTCATTGGATAGCCTTGAAGGAAGAGTGACTATAACATCAGACATGTGGACTTCAGGTAATCAACAAAGAGGATATATGACTGTCACTGCTCATTATATTGATGATTCTTGGAACTTACAGAGTCACATTTTAAGGTAACAAATCATTTTCCTAGTCATATTTTATATTATTTTTAATTTTATTTTATTTTCGTATGGTAAAATGATTGAATATTGATTAAATTTATGTGAATATTATTATTTTAGGTTCATTATGTTCCAACTCCTCACACAAGTGATAGACTTTGCAATACATTAGTTGAATGTTTGATGGATTGGAATATTGATACAAAATTATCCACTATCACCCTTGATAATTGTACTACAAATGATGCTATGGTTGAAAAAATTAAGGGCAAATTGCAAATTAACACTTTATTGAGAGATGGTGATTTACTTCACATGTGTTGTTGTGCTCATATATTAAATTTGATAGTCAAAGATGGGCTAGAGGTAGTGAAAGATGAGATTGAAAAAATTCGGGGTAGTGTAGCATATTGGTCTGCAACACCTAAGAGGAAAGATAAGTTTAAAGAAACAGCAAAGCAATTGCGCATCTCTTGTACTAGGAGCTTAGTTTTAGATTATCCAACAAGATGGAATTCAACATACAAAATGCTTGAAATTGCCATAATATATGAAGATGTGTTTAATCGATTGAAGCAACGAGATTCTCAGTATACTTATTTGCCAACTAGTTTACAATGGCAGTTTGCAAAAGATGTTTGTGAAAGGTTGAAATTGTTCAATTTTATAACATAATTATTTTCTGCTACTAAACATCCAACTGCTAATTTGTATTTTCCCAATATATGTGAGATTAAATTGACATTGACTGAGTGGATTGCATCTCCAAATGAAGTGATTAAAAAAATGTCTGAGAACATGTTGTTCAAATTTGATAAGTATTGGAATGTGATTCATGCTATTATGGGAGTCGTTACTGTTTTGGATCCTAGATACAAGATGGAGTTACTTGAATATTATTATGAAAAGTTGTATGGTCATGAATACTTTTTGCAAGTTAGGATGATTCGTCAATTATGTTATGACTTGATTTCTGAGTATCAAACAAAAATGAATAAAGACACATGTGGCGAGTCTCCAACAAGGGATGATACTAATGTTGCTGGTGATGCATTAACTGAGTATGATAGGTATATTTTGAGGAAAAAAAGGGCAAGAAATACATATGTTAAAACAGAGTTAGACCATTATTTAGAAGAAGAGGTTTTACCAAGAAAAACTGATTTTGATATTCTAATGTGGTGGAAGTTGAATGGAGTCAAATACCCAACAATTCAAGCAATTGCTAAAGATGTATTAGCTATCCTTATCTCCACTGTAGCTTCTGAATCTGCATTTAGTATTAGTGGTCAAATATTAAGCCCCCATCGTAGTAGACTTCATTGGACTACTCTAGAGGCTTTGATGTGTGCTAGGAGTTGGTTATGGAGTGCTGAAAACAACTGTAATGTTTTATATACATTTTTAAATATATATTTAATGATTGTATTTTTAGATTTTAACAAGTATTCTCTTTATATTTTATCTTTAGGTGATGTGAATTCTCAACTAATTGATGACTATGCTATTTTACTCAATGAGATGGATTATGGTGATGAAGGTATTATTTTATTTATTAAAAAAGTATTATTATTTATTTTTTAATATTTTATTTCTCTTTTCAATAATATATTTTATTTTAAATTATGTAGGTGAATTGATGGACAGTGACATTGTTACTCATTTGGAGGATGATCATTAAATTATCTAATATTTGTTATTTTTCTTATATGTATTGTTATGCACGGTTATGCATTATTATGCAGTTTTCTTATATTATTTTTCATGAGAAACTTTGTTTACTTATTTGTTAGTATTTTTAGATGTATTTCATAATTATTTTAAAAGGATCATTAGTTGAAACTTATTTTTATTATATATTTTTGACAAGGATTAATAATTTTAAAGGATTAACAACTTCTAATAAGAAGAAAAAAAGAATGATCAAATATATTTTTTATGCATAAATATTTTAATATAAACGTAATAAATTAAAATATACACTCAATCAATAATAATATTCTAAAAGTTATAATATTATATTTATTTGTTATAAAAAATAAAATGTAAAAGATAATAATTTTAAATTATTTTATTATAATTTATATATAATTACTTTTAAAATAATATCATAGAACGGGGACGAGACGGGCGGGCGGGAAACCCGAAACCCAACGGAACGGGAAACCCGAAACTCAACGGGGACGGAGATGGAGACTTAATTTTTAACCCCAGTAGAGATCGGGGACGGGGACGGAGACGATTAAAAAAGTCGGAAGCGAGGGTCGGGAGGCAAAAAGCCGCCCCGCTCCACCCCGTTGCCATGTGTACATTTCTTCCAATTTTGTTGTACTTTGGATTTCCATTCCGATCATTTGGGTATTATGCGTAGGCAAAAGGAATCAATAAAAAGTTTGATAGCATAAAGCATACAAAACATCGTCACATATTTCTTCCAAGTTTTAAGAGATGTTTTCCTTCTCACACGACGAATCCCCTTGTCACTTTTTCTTTAAAAATAGTATGAAAATCTAAGAGAAGACAAACCAGACCAAAATTGTTTATTTGCCACGTCTAATTCTCACCATATTTACCCACAATATCTTTTATAATAAAACAATATTAGAGAAACAAAAAAAGAGCTCTGCAATTATGGCAATATTTTTTTAATATATATAATTTTATCACCTAGAAAAGAAAGGAGAATAAGAATATTATGACAAAAGTTGAGGGCAAATACATGATATGAATGTCACGTCTATTAATTAAGACTCACACTAAACTAGTTCAGTTTCTCTATTAAATCTATGGTACATAATATTAGATTAAATATAATTTTGGTCTTTTAATTATAATTATTGATATGTAAAAATTGAAGTTCATGAATGCTTATTAGTAGTCAAATAGAAAAGCCAAACCTAGGCATTTATAAACCATCATCAAATTCTTAAAGTGTATCTGCTTAAAGACATTATCGTTATAAACTTAATAATGTAATAATTTATGCAAAACAAAAACTAATTCGCTATTGGGAAATAAATCCAAATGAGAGCAGTATACATAATAAAAAAATGTGTAAACCTATGTATGAATGAAAATGAAGTAACGAATGGTTTATTATAATAAATAAGGTCTAACATAATAAATGAGTGGAATAAGATTTACTTTTTGATAAAAAAAAGCTGTCACCAAATAAAAAAATGAAAAGACTTTTATATTTTCCATGGCTTAGGTAATATAGGATATAATTTCCTTAAAACTTTAGAAATATATATGTATGGCAAATAACTTACATCACAAGTGGAAAGTGTCCCTTAAAACCACAGCTTAAAGGCATGTGGCACCAATAAAAAGGAAGTTTGAGATAACATCTAAGCAACTATCCAGAGGATTTTTTCCCTCACATAAATGGAAGGAAATCTTTCACTTTTATCAGAAATGGAAATAAGCGTGTGAAGAAGAATCTAGTGATGGTGCAATATCAGTAAACGTACGCAATAGCATGCATAAATAGGCATTACTCATTAATCAGCTCAAAGGAACAAACCCAAGTCATAGGTGAAGAGCTTCTACTGTATTAACTATGCCTAGATCAGTGGATCCTCTTGTTATTGGACGTGTAGTTGGAGATGTCTTGGAGCCATTTACAACTTCTGTGTCTCTGAGGATAGTCTATAACAACAGCTTTGAAGTTATCAATTGTTGTGAGCTCAAACCCTCACAAATCCTGAACCAACCAAGAGTTGAGATTGGTGGAGATGACCTCAGAAACCTTTACACCCTCGTATATTACACTACTTATCATTCATTTATTATATATACTTGATCAATTTTTTACCTCTCTATATACCTATCTAGCAAGATTAATAGTTAACTTTGTTGCATGCACTTTGTATAATTTTACAGGTGATGGTGGATCCTGATGCACCTAGTCCAGGAAACCCAAATCAGAGGGAATATTTGCACTGGTAAGTGCTCCTCCCTCCCTTGCATCTAAGCCACAGTTAGGGAACATATATAACATTCTTCTTCAACCTCCACACAACCTTCTTTATCTTCCATTCTTTTTCTCCATCTCTCTTTTCTATCATATATCATGCAGATATATATATATATATATATATATATATATATATATATATATCACCTACTTTAAGCTTTAATTAGTGTTATATAAGATCATTACATTTAAAATATTACCTGCGACATTCCCCTTTCCTTCTTCATATCTTGATAAACGTTTTGATGATTGAAAAAAAAGAAAAAAGAAAAGACATTTACAAGTTTCATTTTAATCTTAACCTAATCTCTACACCGCTTTTAGGTGTAACAGAATACACCTTCTTCTTCTTCTTTTCTTCATGCTCTTTCCTAACTGAATATTCTTTTTATTTTGTGAGATTTTCCTTTTCATCTCGTTTTTTTTTATCCGTGTCTTTCTCCTTCGTTACATCATTTATGGACCTTAGATTCTCTGCAGCCAGATTCTTCTTCGCCTTAGTTGGAAACCAGATTCTCTATGGCGTGAAATCCTCTCCCGGTCTCTGCACCCGAAAATGGAATTATAGATTTGTTTGTGAAACAACCGTATTTTGATTATGTAGAAACAAATAGTTACAAAATTAATATACATATTTATCTTATTCATAATTTTAATCGATAAATTATGTTTTTATTTATTTCTATATAAAAGAAATCGATAATTCATTATTTTCACCAACCTTTCATCCTCTCACACAAACTTTATTTTTTAAGATTCACAAGTTTTATTTTAAAATTGAAGTTGTTATGCTCCTTATGCTCTCAATGCTCGAATTTCCCCAAATCGGCGATTATTACGGCGGATCCAAAACGGAAGATATAAGAAACAATAAACACAGGTTAGATTGAAATTGAAATGGTGAGAGTGTTTTGAAATGGAGATTACCTTTTGAATCGAAATTTGATGAGAGACGAACTTCAATCCACAAAACGCAAGGTTTGCGCAACGAACTTCAATCGGAGCAACGAACGGTCTGAGAAGGGCTTCGATCGAACAACTTCAAACGTTTCAATCACAGCGGCATGGCGAAAGAGCACTTTAAAAAAAATAGAGGATAATAAATTTAAATATCTTTAAAATAGTTACTATAACAGTCCCGTAAAATAACTTCAGTTAAAAATAAATATTCTTTTATTCTATTGTTCACAGCTGTTTCTATTTTATCCATCCATTATGTCTTTCTTCTCTTTCTTCTTCTTTTTTTTTTTTTTTTTTACTTTGGCTAAAGAGATAAAATGACTAAAAAAATATAGTTTTTCATTTATTACATCTATCAACTATTCTCTCTACTTTTTTCTTTTTATCTCTATTTTTTCTAACAAAATTGGGATAGTGTTGAATATTTTCTCTTTTAAATCAATAAAATAAAATGTTACAATTAATAAATTTATTATTTTGCAATAAATTCCAATATGCAAATTATTACTTTTCCACCCTGAATTAAATATTTTCAGTAATTTTTTTATTACGTTAGAAGAGGTTGAATAACTATTTTTTTTGCATGCCAATTATACAGTTTTTTTTATCTTGCATGTCATTTTTTAACCCTTCGATGGATGTCCAGGTTAGTAGCCAATATTCCAGGAACTACAGGAACAAACTTCGGTATGCTCTCAGCTTTTATTTTATTTATTTTATTTTAAACAAACTTTTAAATTATATACTACCATATTACATATAATTTGTATGTAATAAGTAATATATTCTTAAACATATTGTTTTAATACCTTTCCTATTCATACATGCTGTTTTAGTTAATACACATACATTAACCAATTAATGAGGTATGTATGCTTTTATAAAGGAAATATAATTTGTGATTTTTTATTTTAATTTTTTTTATGTAAAGGTTAACAGTGTATATGGGGAATAAATTACTTCTGAAATCACCTTCTTCTTTTTTTAATAGGAGTCTCAAAAGTAAATTAAAATAAGGGATTTTTTTTCTAAAGTAGATTAAAATAAACATATACACTTACATCTTGAGCTAGAAAAGCTACAAGTTGCATCGGTCTTATTTTGAAGTAATTTTAATTTGAAGAGCTTGACTTACTAAAAGATTGAATATGATATTTTTACGTGTAGTGTTTACTTTAAAGAAAAATATATAACTTAATTATGTTTTTGCTTTGAAATATAGTTATTAGTAATATAGTGTTGTGTTTTAATGTGTTTTGTAAACATGACAGGTGAAGAGGTTGTGGGGTATGAAGGTCCACGTCCCATGATGGGGATTCATCGCATTGTTTTCATACTGTTTCGACAATCGCAAAGACAAACAATATATGCACCAGGATGGCGTCAAAATTTCAACACCAGAGATTTCAGTGAGCTTTATAATCTTGGATTACCAGTTGCAGCAACCTACTTCAACTGCAAACGACAACTTGATTCTGCTCGAAGGAGATAATAAAATACCAACAGTAATAACGTGAACTCCACATAATGTTTCACTGTCATATTTTTTTTTTCAAAAAAATATTATTAATCTAGTCTCTTAAAAATGAGTGTATCATCTTAGGTTTCAAAAAAATAATTCAGGATTAATCACCCAAAATCTTAAGTATCACCCTCACCTTTTCGGAGAGAATAAGTAACCGATTGGAATGATTAATCTGATAATATTTTTAATGAACTTCATTGATACTCTAAATTTTAAGAGACTAAGTAATATTTTTTTGGAAAAAAAAGAAGCTATACATTAATATTAGTGGGAGGGGTCACTTTATGAATAAATACCCTTCATGCCCTAGAAAAAAAAAGGCCCTTCAAGATATGAAGATATTATATATTAAGAAAATAAGTACAATCAGTTATATATTAATGATTGTGTGACTTTATGCTGCATTGGCTTCCTTTGGTGCCTACATAAAACTATATACGTGCAATAAAATGCTATATGTATAGATGTATATATCTCCATTCAAAATAAAATTTCAATCAGTATGTGTGTTTGAAATATTGCCACCTCTAATTATAGAACCGATTATTTTATTTTTACTACCACAACGACTATTTTTATTTTCATTAAATAATAATTTTATTTTATGGTGTAGCCCAGCTCAAAGCCCATTGAGGCTCGGGCTTCTCCGTAGACAAACGCATGATAATAAGAAATTGGATTTCAAATAGAAGTAGCATTTTATCAAAACCCAAATCCAAACACATCTTAATTTAGACAGATGCCTTCTAACAACCCCTTTTTTCATATCTTATAGTGAAAAATAAAATAAAAATATCTATCTTTTTTTCTTCAACATTATAATGTTTTAATGATTTTGTTATTATAGTCTTAACTATAATAATTATTAAATATAAAATTAATGTTTGAGGTGGATACAAATGAAACCGTGTGAATGATAGTAGGAAGATAAAATGTTAGCGTAAAGCAGTAGGCACAGTAGATGGCGGCTAGGGGACGAAAGCAACGGTGGAAAATTTCTATATTACCCCTTCTCCACCGCATATTTGGTTTCTCTGCCTCTGGCTTTTGGTCAACCCAAAAGCTGTCTGCACCAACTTTCTCTCTACCAACCTCCTCACCGTGTCATAAAACTAAGCATAAAATAAATAGCTATTAATATAAAACAATATCATATTCATACGCAAACAATAATAATAATAATAATATAAATTGAAGCAATACCTACTCTCCACGCTCCGCTTCGAGTCTTGCAATTCCCGATGGCTTTCGTTTCCAAGCTCTCAACGCCAAACCCAGCTGCGTCGTTATCGGAAGCGCTTCGCCCCCGCGAGTCTTCTCGCAACTGCTTCCTCTCCTTCAAACCTTCTTCTTCCGCTGCTAATTACAAGTTTAACCTCTCTGCTTCCCTCCGATCTCTTCACTCCCTCCCTCTTAAAACCTCTCTGCGGTAAGTTTTCTTCGATCCCTCTCGCGCTTTTGCTAGATCTCCATTCCTCCACGTTTTCTTTCTCATCGCTCTCTACTTCGCTTGATCTCTCACACCACCTCCATGTGCACCGCTTTTTTATTTTATTTTTACTTTTTTTGTCTTTGCAATTTCCTTGCGAGTGGTCAGTTGTTTACGATGAACTCGGGATTGCATGCTAAGTATGATGGACACACAGGCACTGTCATTATTCTAAAAAATATTTAAATTATTAGAAAAATATTTAGGAATACAATACGAACAGTATGATGATGCATATCTCAATACTTAAAAGAAATCATAAACCATAAATAGATACATAATTGCAATTTTGTAAATCCAAATCAAGAACATCCTTTTTTATTACTATAACCGATAAAATTTATAAATAATTATCATCACCAATCACTTTCTCTATTGTCTACTTATATGATATGTATCAATCTCATTCCTTTATTGAAATTATCTATATGGCGAAATTCATTTTTGGCTCATCAAGGACAATGGTTCTATGTTTCCCTCCTTAAGTGACGAATATTTTGAAGGCTTAGTTTTTGTTTATTAAACGGCATATATGGGAGACAAATATTTGATGGTTGATTGTTTTCTTTCAGGATTAAATGCTCCCAAACTGATGGGAATGGAAGTCCTGCTAAGAGGACAGTGCTTCATGATCTCTATGAGAAAGAAGGGCAGAGTCCATGGTATGATAATCTCTGCAGACCTGTTACAGATCTGCTTCCTCTTATAGCCAGTGGTGTCAGAGGTGTTACCAGCAATCCTGCGGTAATATTTTTTTTTTTTTTTTGTTATTGCTCTCGTTATGTGAAGATGTTTTTCCTGATAATATTACAGAAATTAAAACTGATTAATGTTCCAAACATTTCTTGTGAGTTGTAAGAGGCTTTCTTTGGATGTTGCTGTTCTAATCTGTTGTCTGTACATGTGGTGCAGATCTTTCAGAAAGCTATTTCATCCTCAAATGCTTACAATGATCAGTTCAGGTACCATCAATATCTATATAAATTCCGAAATTTCTTTTCAAAGGCAATGTGGTGGTCAGGGTACTACGAACTGTGAGGCGTGGACACAGATCATACCTGCGTGTCCATAGTGTGTTTTCACTGTATGAGCCCGTGTTTGGCATAGCTTTTCTCATGGGAAACGTCTGCTTTTTTTCAAAAGCTCTTTTATGGAGCTGGAAAAAGAAAGTGATTTTTTTTCTCCAGATTAAGTTGAAACAAGAATTCACTTAGTTGCAGTTTGTCAGTCTATTCATAATATATGTTTAGTTTAGTAAAAGTAAACTACACCAATGTGATACTCCTTAGTTCCAAATTTTCATGGGAGGGGCAGCTCTTCACTACTTTAAGCATATTGCTGTGTCTGTTTTAGGTCTTATATTCCTCCAAAGTTTATGTATACTGTTATCAAAAGAAGAAAAATATTAAAAAAAGAGAGAAAATAATGGTTTTCTGTCTTATGGATATGTTAGTGACTGTCTTATTGGTGGACGTTGCACTATAGTTCTAACAATTTCCTTCCTACTCTTATAGATAAAAATAAATTACTCAATCATGCAGGGAACTTGTGCAAGCAGGGAAAGACATTGAAAGTGCATACTGGGAGCTTGTAGTGAAGGATATCCAAGATGCCTGCAAGCTATTTGAACCAATCTATGATCAAACAGATGGTGGTGATGGCTATGTTTCTGTTGAAGTATCTCCCAGGCTTGCTGATGATACTGAGGGAACCATAGAAGCTGCAAAATGGCTTCATAAAGTGGTTGATCGCCCCAACGTGTATATTAAGATTCCAGCTACAGAGGCATGTGTGCCTTCAATTAAGGAAGTTATTGCTAATGGGATAAGTGTGAATGTAACGGTGAGTTTGTGCTACATCCTTTCATATAATGTAAATTAAATCAATTGGTATGATATAGTTATGGTTTGGAATTCTAGATTTGCTTATTGGCTCTGCTTGATATGTGATCCGTTAAATTTTGTCATTATTACCATAACAAATTGTACTGTTATTTTAAGCTCGTGCTCATGTCTGCAAGGAATATGAAAACTTCAGTCTTCAACTGTCCTGACCAGTGTCATCGATTTGATCGCTTTTACTTGCATGTTTAAAGTCTAATGTGTCTGGTATTTGTATGCACAGCTGATATTCTCTCTTGCAAGATATGAAGCTGTTATTGATGCTTACTTGGACGGTCTTGAGGCATCTGGGTTAAATGACCTCTCTAGAGTTACAAGTGTTGCCTCTTTCTTTGTCAGTCGAGTTGACACTCTCATTGACAAGACCCTTGAGAAAATTGGCACCCCAGAGGCCCTTAATCTACGTGGCAAGGTAACTATTTATTACCAAATTTCTGTTATTGCCTTTGGATTTATTACACACCTGAATGTCAAGTATTTTCATAGTCACTACACATTGAATTTTACAGGCAGCAGTAGCCCAAGCAGCATTGGCTTACCAGCTCTACCAAAGGAAATTTTCTGGTCCTAGGTGGGAAGCTCTAGTTAAAAAAGGGGCCAAGAAGCAAAGGCTCCTCTGGGCCTCAACTAGTGTCAAGAATCCTGCCTATCCTGACACCTTATATGTTGCACCTCTTATTGGACCTGACACTGTAAATATTTTCACTGCGTCAATCTGTACATAGTTATTATAGTTTATCTGAGGCAAATAATGAACTTGATTTTTGGCCTTGATGGTGTTAAAAACTTAAAAATCAAAGGGTTTGCTAATCCTTGTTGTATCTCATTGCAATATCTTTTCTTACTTGCCAGGTATCAACCATGCCAGACCAAGCCCTTCAAGCATTTATCGATCATGGTACTGTATCCAGAACAATAGACTCAAATGCATCTGAAGCTGAGGGAATATACAATGCTCTCCAGAAATTGGGTATTGACTGGGGCTTTGTCGGTAACCAGCTTGAACTTGAAGGGGTGGATTCGTTTAAGAAGAGCTTTGACAGCCTCCTGGATTCTCTGCAAGAGAAGGCAAACTCTCTTAAGTTGGTCAGCCACTGAAGTGTGAACGGTCATGGTTAGTAATGCTGTGTATGATGCCATTTATGGATTAATAAAGCAGTGGCTGTGCTGCTGTAAATGTGCTTCATGGAATCATTTAGACTATAGTGATACAATGGAAATGGGAAATGTCCGCTTCGAGTAAAACGTTGTTTCTTTCCCAGTATACATACAATGTTTGTGCGGTTTCATTCCTTTGTGTTTGTGATGTCATTTATCAACTCATTTAATCAAAAGGCCCCTTCCCTTAGAAATTTGGTAAACTACCTCAACGAAGGTATTGCTACTTGCCCCTCAAAATTTCTCTCGTTCAGTATGGAAAGTTTTATTTACCTTTTGAAGTATTCTGTAAATCAAGAAGTCATCAATCGGGAATGTAATTTTGCGTTCCAGTTTAGTCAATCCCAACTATGAAACCATCAAGTGATTTTTAGGTGTTCCTGGCATACAAAGAACATGCCTTAAATAACAGGCCCAAATAGTAGAAAACGTGCAGTATGCAAGTTTGTATTGTCAAACTGTGCTTAGTTCTTTAAAAAATGGGCCATCCCCAGATTCAATAAAAAGCTTATGAAGTTTTTAGGATCTTCTGATAACATGCATGTTAAAAAATAATCTCATTTTACCATGCATTTTATCTTGTAAATCCTAAATACTAAGGAAACACTAAAAGAGGAAAAAGTAAGTATTTATTAGATATATACTTATGACTAGTGCTTAGAGCTAACTACTTAAACTATTAATATATAAGAAAAATCTGTCTTGTTTTTATACAAATTATAAAAGAAAAGTTTATTAACAAATTCTCATGATGAAATCATCTCATTTGACTAATTTATCTTTATTGCAAACTTATTTTCAACTTAATCTTGTTCCATAAATGATTAATTATATTGTTCAATTATAACTATACATCTATTAGCGCATTTATTTTTAGAAGCTATTATTGAAAATAATAATTAATACTTCTAGGAAGTATAAAATAATAAATAGTGAGACAAAAACGTGTCATGTATAACAAATAATAAGAAAGAAAGACTGATAACAATCATACAGGTTGCATGTCAAAATATTTCCATTTTTATTGCTTAATCAATATCTCAGGAACATTTCTTACTACTCTTTTAACATAAAGATTTTTGTTAACCAGTAATTTAGAGATACATTGTTAAAAATTAATGGAAATTTTATTAGCATGGGGAGTTACATTAAAAATCACAACAATAGTGCATTAAATAATAGCACTTTTAAATACAATAATTTTTTAATTTTTATTTCTTAACTAATCCTTAGAGTATTCGATAACATTTTCCTTGTATAATTTTATTCAATATATATTATGCACTTTTTTTTTCTGATACTAACCCTTAAAGTTGTTATTAACAAAAGGAATAATTTTAAAGAAAATACGAAGGACTAGGTCAATTAAAAAAAAAATTAATTGAAAATATTCATCATAAGAACTAAATTTATTACTATTTTAAAAATAATTAAACGATCAAGTATGTTCAATCATTACTTACCACTTTTAGGTCTAGAGGATTAGACAAACCTTACTTCTACATCCTCCTATATCTTCATACTAATTCTCCTATCTAGAAACGCTTAAACAGGAATGTTTATGTGCACTATCTTGTTAACCGACTATTTAGTAAATAAGATTATTAAATGTGGTAATATTTAGAGTGAAAGAAACTAATAAAATTTGACTAAAACTATTTATTTGGTGAGTCAATATAAAAAATATGATTAAACGAATATATTAAATCACGTATATTTTTCAAGAAGAAAATATTGAATAATATTTTATTTTTTAAATATTAAATATAGTTTTATTTAATGTTTTATTTCTAATGTAATAAGATGATGTTTAACATAAAGTAGTCTCATGTATCAACCTGTACCTAAAAACTTGATCTCTTAGCAGTTAATGCTAAGTTCTCCAGTACAATTATTTTGATAAACACTTCAAATTTGTTTTTCTTTTAATTTTTTTCATAATTTAATTCTTTATCCGTGAAAAAGAAAAAGGTTCTACTAACTATCTTCTCGTTTAAACGAAATCATTAATTTAACTGAGAATGATAAATATATTTTGTAACAACACTTTTTCTATTAAATTAATTACATTCCATGTATTAAATACTGATTTTTATAAAGAATGAAGTTATTTTAATAATATTATATTTTAAAGAGTAATATTTTTTTTTCAAAATTATACTTTTATACAACTCGAAATTGTGCTTCTCTCACTGTAACATAATCTTATAAACACCTAGTAAAAATAATAATTTTAGAAACTCAATTTAAAAAAAAAAACATCATAAAAGTAGTTCAATTTAAAGCTATGAGAAAGAGATATATTATGGATGAGAATAAAAATACAAAATAAAAGTGACTCATCATATCAATCCATTTGCCGTACAGGCAAAGCTTCTTACTATGTTGGATAGAAAGTCTATAAACAAACATTTTCAAATTAAAAAAAAATCTAAAATTTAAAAGATTAAAATATATTTTATTGTTTGCTTTTGAGTTTGTAGAAACAATCCTTTTAATAACAAATATGCGAGTTGAATGAAAATAAAGAAGGCACTTCGGTTGAGTAACTTGCGTGGATTTTTAAAGAAAGAATAGTTTCTCAGTGTTGGAAATGAGAAGGGGAGTAATAATGTAGAGCTACGTTTATGTTTAGAAGAACCCACCCAATTTTTCACGTTTACCTTCTCAAGAAGTCTTTACTTTCGAACTTAGACGCAACTACAAGTACAAATGCATGTGCTCACAAGAAATGTTGCATTATTTAAAGCACAGTTGGGTAATCTTGAAATTTTGAGTTTATTTCAGTGCTGGTGATAAATACTGGTACTATCAAATAAGTGATGTAACACTTAACTCTGTTAAGAAGAGACACAAAAATTTAACATGAACAATCATGTGAACAAGAAGATTCATTTCAGATTAGTGGAAGTTTAAAATCTGGATGGGGTTGTGTGGAGAAATAGGACCACAACATTGAAGAGGAAGAATTTAAAACTAATCACAAAATTTCAAGCAGTTGATGATCCCCAACCTCCCCATTCATATAAAAATTTATGTTCTCATCCATAATTTCATGCTGAACCAACCCAAAAGTGCTTGAACAAAATGGTAGTGGGAACAAGAGTTGGAATAAATTACTAATACTATAACATGCAGGCACCAATCAATGACAGCAATGGTGCCAGCCTCCGTAGCAGGTGAGACCATAAATGCACTATGTTCAATCGCTTCCATTGATGTTGTATACTGTTGTACTGCCATTTATTGTGCATGGCTGGTTTCAACGTGTTAGTTGAACCTTCCTTTAATACTGGTCCCTTTTCCTAACTGTATCAAAAAAGATCAACTGTTAAGAATTCCTTCACTCTTAACTCTGCAACCTTGTATTCATACACAAGTCAATAAAGTCACATTTATCTGTCACACACTTAAGGGAATGTAGGGTCCAAACCTACACTACACAATTGGTTTCTTTTCCTTTTATTTCCTATCTTGAGAAGAATTAACTAGGCTTTTGTGACAACCATAAGTAGAGGAGCAAGGGAAACCAAGAAAGTACTAGAAATTGGTTGCTTTAGTATACATATTTCAGAATGATTGTTTCCCACCATGATTTTGCATTTTCATTACTGAGTTGTGATTACTGAAGAGCTGGATCCATCACCCTTTTCATGTCTTGTGAGTAGTTAATCTGAAGATTGAGGTTGAGGAGAAGTAGTAACCGGTGTTGTGTGTTAAGAGTGATGGATAGCTCCGAGATCAAGTCACCAACAGAAGTCTCCATTGAGGGGACACCAGGCACTTCAATGAACAGAAAGAAGCTTGCCATTTACTTCATTGAGTCCGAGGATAGAAGAATGGCCTTTGGTCGTGGGTACACAGCAGGATCTACACCAGTTAATATCCATGGCAAATCCATTGTTGACCTTTCAAAGACTGGTGGTTGGATTGCAGCCTTCTTTATATTTGGTATATACATATTATCTCTTTATGTGTATGTGCTTGTGCAATAGACAAAGTTGGATACACTTCTTAAGCTTTTTGACACATTTTTTTAATTTGAATTAGTGGTTACGAACTTATGATTTATGAATGCTTTGAAGAGAAGATTCTATAATTGTGGCTTGTGTGGTTGTAGGAAATGAAATGGCAGAAAGAATGGCTTATTTTGGGCTTTCAGTTAACATGGTGGCCTTTATGTTTTATGTGATGCATAGACCATTCACCAGTTCATCCAACGCAGTAAACAATTTCTTGGGTATATCACAAGCTTCTTCTGTGCTTGGTGGTTTTCTAGCAGATGCATATCTTGGACGCTACTGGACAATAGCCATCTTCACTACAATCTATCTTGCGGTACAAACACCATTCCTCTTTCCATCGAACACCACATCATATGTTTGTGTGTCCATAAGTATCTTGGCCCAAGTAATATCTGTACCAAAATTTTTGGATTTTTCAAGATTTTTATGTCAACTCTCATTTATTAGGTTTTATTGAGTGATCATTTAAAATGAGATGGAATTGATACCATTTTATCTAAAATATTTCAAAAAGCATTTATTTTATATTTTATTTTCATTCATCTTACTTTTTTAAGGTGTAGCAACAGTAATAAATAGTACATCATATTTATCAAAATAAAAGATAAATAATTTAAAGTTATGTATTAATTAAATGAATTTGGACTATTTAAAGTTATGTGTTTACATAAACATTTGTCAAAACAATATATACTGGAATTGGTGGACAGAGAGAAGCAAGAATGTTTTGTTTGATTGCATTTATATGAACAGGGTTTGACAGGAATAACGCTGTGTGCAACAATAGGGAAGTTTGTACCGAACCAAGAAGAGTGTGACCAATTTTCTCTGCTTTTGGGAAACTGCGAGCCAGCAAAATCGTGGCAGATGACATACCTCTACGCGGTTCTATACATCACAGCGTTTGGAGCAGCAGGGATAAGGCCCTGCGTGTCATCTTTTGGAGCAGACCAATTTGATGAGAGAAGCAAAAACTACAAGGAACACCTTGACAGATTCTTCAACTTTTTCTATCTGTCAGTGACCATAGGGGCAATTGTAGCCTTCACAGTAGTGGTGTACGTGCAGATGCAATATGGATGGGGATCTGCATTTGGGTCACTCGCAATTGCGATGGGAATATCAAACATGGTGTTCTTCATAGGCACTCCCTTGTACAGGCACAGGTTGCCAGGAGGGAGTCCTCTCACTCGAGTTGCTCAAGTTTTGGTTGCTGCATTTCGAAAAAGAAATGCCCCTTTTGGAAGCAGTGAGTTCATAGGCTTGTACGAGGTTCCTGGCAGAAACTCTGCCATCAAGGGAAGTCGAAAAATTGCTCACACTGATGATTTCAGGTCAGCTCCATCCATTTTCTTTGGTTTAATGTTGTATTTTAGAATAGGAATGCTAAAAGGGTGTAAAAAATGGTTTAAAACCAAACAATTTTCTACTAAGAAAAGTTTCATGACACTCATTATAGAAGGGAGAGACAGAAACATAAATGTGGTAAGTAATATGATGTGGCAAAAGAGATATGCAAGTGTGCATGGGGTGTATCTTCCTTATGTGTTCAAAAATGATAACTCTTTTCTATTTATTTATGATGGGAAACAGAAAAAGAAACATGATATGCCATATAAATTCTTTTGTTAACATTGGTGAGAAATCTTATTCAATTTTCTGCTTTTGGATGGCACATATCAGGTTTCTTGACAAGGCAGCTCTGCAATTGAAAGAAGATGGTGCTAATCCCAGTCCTTGGAGGCTCTGTACTGTGACTCAAGTAGAAGAAGTGAAGATCCTTTTGAAACTGATTCCCATACCAGCTTGCACAATCATGCTCAACGTAGTCCTAACAGAGTTTCTCACTCTCTCAGTCCAGCAGGCATACACTCTGAACACCCACTTGGGTCGTTTGAAGCTCCCAGTTACATGCATGCCTGTGTTCCCAGGCCTCAGTGTTTTTCTCATATTATCTCTCTACTACTCCCTTTTTGTCCCCATCTTTAGACGCATCACGGGTCATCCGCACGGTGCATCTCAACTTCAGAGGGTAGGAATTGGGTTGGCAGTGTCCATTCTATCAGTTGCATGGGCTGCAATATTTGAGAGGTACAGAAGAAACTATGCAATAAAACATGATTATGAGGCTACTTTCCTCACAGCAATGCCTAACCTAAGTGCATATTGGTTGCTGATCCAATACTGCCTCATTGGTGTGGCTGAAGTGTTCTGCATTGTGGGGCTATTGGAGTTTCTATATGAGGAAGCCCCTGATGCCATGAAGAGCATAGGCTCTGCGTATGCTGCACTAGCTGGTGGCTTGGGTTGTTTTGTGGCAACCATTATAAACAACATCATCAAATCAGCCACCGGGAACTCAGCTAAAGACCAACCTTCTTGGTTGTCTCAAAACATCAACACTGGCAGGTTTGATTACTTTTATTGGCTTCTCACAGCTTTGAGCATGGTCAATTTTTTCATCTTCATATATTCAGCACACAAATACAAGTACAGGGCACAGCAAGTTCATGAGATGGAGAAACATGAAATGTCATACATTGGAAGCTCCTAGTTTCCAACACAAACTGCTGTCTTTGTTCCATTCAGTAACTTCCAAATAGTCTTTCTCCTTGTATGGTCAAATATTACCATTTCATAGAGATCCAATATGCAAACTAGCTAGGGAGTACTCTGCATAAGATAATGAATTTCGTTGTGAAGGACCATAACTCCCCAGGGTATAGTTTAGTTAAATTAAACACTTACATGCAAGCAAAGATGGAAGAAAAAAAGACAATTAAGTAGTTTATGCAAGTTATTGAATAATATAAAAATTCCAGTGAATCTTTTAAAATAGTTAAAAGTAGTTTCTTAAAAGTATATAAAAACTAGGTGCAGGAGTATTACCTTACCTGTAATACTGTAATAATCTTACAGTGCACTTCATGTCCCAATTATTTCCAGTTTTTTTTTTTTTTTCTCAATTTCTTTTCTCTTTCCACGTCTAAGAGTCTGTCTCTCTTCTTCTACACGATTTGATTAACAAATCTTCTGTAATACAAAGGTGTAAATTTAATCCTCGATGTTACAAAATGATGTTCTCTTTTTACAGTTACAAAAAAAATGTTATTATTATATATTGTTTTCTTGGAGTCATATTTTTTATTTTAAAATTAATTTTATTTATATTCAAGCTTTGACTATATTTTTATTTTTTTTACGGGAATGATGACGGATAATCTTGTAAGTAGCGCTCAATTTTAAAGAGTAAAAGAAGAACTTTATTACAAACTATTTAATAAATTACTAGAGTTAAATTAAACTTAAATATTATAATAGAAGATATTTTGAACCCAGTTAAAAAAATTATTATTTATTAAATTACTATTTAACAATTTTATTATAAAGTTAAATTAAAATTTAATTATAAATTAAAATAAGAGAAATGTTACTCCTCTTCTCGAGGTTATGTTTAAATAAGTAACACTTGTTTCTCTTATAATTTTAATAAATTAAAAATTATTCTTTTATTTTATTTAAAATATTATATTAACTAAAAGTTGAATAAAACATTTAAAACTAATTATTTTTTCATAAATAAAAAATTGTTGAAAAATAAATATGAATGTCACTGTATTAAAAAAAATGCGAATGTCAATTATTAAAAACATAAAAAATTAATATTTGTTTAAAATGATAAAAAAATAGAAATATTATTTATTAAAACGATAATTTTTAAAAGATATAATTATCATATAGTATAGTATTAAGAAATTAAAAGTATGGAAAGTCCTTCCCTAGATCATTCTAGATTATGATTGCTGCAGCCCAATTCATGTTAGATTTTTATTCTATTTTATCAAAATTAAAAGGAAAAATAGGTATTTCATCTATATCTTAAAATAAGAATCACTTATTTAAAGAATATTTAGTGAGCAAAATAAGAAAAAGATATAAATTTGTATTTGACGAAAAAAAAAACACAAAATAATATAATTATAAAATAAAATAACATAAAACATTTTTTTTAATCTTGTTTTAAAGATAGAATGATGAGTACGTACTTTCTTGACTGCTTTCAATTCGAATGAGTTTTTAGTGTCGCAGTTATCTCACACCTTTTTAAGGTCTTTTATTTTGTTCTTTTATGTATATAATTGAGTTTTTTAATTTGTAAAAAATAAAAAAGTTAACAAAATATTACGTCCATGACAAGTTTCAAACGAAGCACTAATTTATCCATGAAAATTTTACGTATAATTATTTTGTCCATGGGGTTATCATGTATTAGGTTGACCTATCTAATCCAATTCAACCCCTTAAAAAATAAGTGGGGTTGATAGATTTCATTAGATTTTGGAAACATTACATTCATTTTAAGTTGATTATATTAAAATATAACATGTTATGAGTATAAACATACACAAATTAGTATAAACATTCACTTCATCAACAATGATATGAGCTCACTCTCTTATATTCATCATCTTAAGGACTCATCTACAATACAATTAGAAATCTCAACTAAAGTGATCTTTTTTGTTTTTAATTGTGTTATGTAATATATATATATATATATATATATATATATATATATATATATATATTACATGTTAAGTAATAAAAAATAAAATATAAAATTTTGAAAAAAGAAAAATAATTGAAAGGATTAATTTAAATTAAGAGTAGGAATTTAAGTTAATTAATGGAAAAAGTGAGTATGTAGTAAATAGTGAATATGAGAGATGAAAATTGTTTATTATATGTATATTTGATTTTGATGTATATAGTAACGTTTAATGGAATGATGCTCTGTTAAACTGCATCAGAATTAACAAAATGTGGGGCATAAAGAACACATGCTATATATGATCTGCATGTACATGTTTACAAGAATAGCGTAAGTGAATGGCAGCCAAAGCTGAAAAAAGAAGAAGAGAAGAAACTGCATGTACTTGAGATAGACTTCACTCATAACATTTTTATGATCTTAAATTAAATGAATCAGTTTAAAAACATTTTCCAAAGAATTGGTAACTTTCATTTTTTTTTCCTCTTTTTATTTGAGAACTAAGAGAAAGAGTGTCTAATAAATAAACCCATATATAATAACTCTATAAAAATGAAGAGAAATCATTATATTAATTCTAATAAAACACACACGAGAGTGATAAACTTAAACTAATCTAAAATTGTTAAAAGAAACTCAACATTCATGTTATTATTATTTTTATTATTTTGAAAAAGTTGCTAAAAAAAATCTCAAAAATTTATTTTTCTTACTATAATATCATTTAAACATACATCAAAACTAAGTAAAATTGTTAAAATAAGAAAACCTGTACTCATCCAAATCTTTAACGTATTTCTATGATAATACGTATGATAAATGATTTTTAATATTTTAATATTAATAAAAAACATTAAATAATAAGTTTTAATTATTTATTATTATTCTAATAATAGTATTATAAATACAAGTATTATTACAAAAATAATCACTTTTTTATTCACAAATTATTATATTATTATTTTTATACTAAGTTAAATGTCGGAGTGTTTTTAATTTTTTTTATTTTATTAATTTGAGAACTCGACTAAGTTAATTTTATATTCGAGTTTGAGAACTCCACTGCGTTAATTCTAGATTTGTATAACTCAATCAAAATAAATTGTGATCAAAACAATTCTTTTCAAACTAAACATTCATCGTCATTATAAAAATATACGAGAACAAAAACTAACCAAGGTTGATAAGAACATAAAAGTTGTTACACACGTTAATAATTGCTTTAACTTAAAAAAAATAAAAATAAAATTCAAGCGATGATTTTTTTATGGGCATAAAAGTTTTTACTGTTTGACTATTTGAAATGAGTGTTTGAGTTTGACCTTTTTGAACGTAGCAAACATTAAGTCACCGATTTGACGTATTAGTCATACATAGCTGCGATGAAATATTGATTACAGCTAAGTTTTTACAAAGTTAAGGTTTTGGGAGAAGAGTTTGAAATGAGAAGCATGTGTTTGTTGTCTCAATTCTCATCCAATTTCTCTAAATCTTCATACATAAGAAAAAGTGGTTGCTGATGAAAGGGATTTAGAATTATTTACAATCATCATCAATATTTGAATTTCTTACTTACACCATGCACATATCATTTATTTCTAAAGACAATGACACACATTTTTTGGATTTATTATTTCACTTCCTCAGTACTTTCTCAGGTAGCAAGAAAAAGGAAACAGTTAATGGCTGCATTTTTATGCACACCACCTCCAATGTAAAGCACTGATGTGACCAAAATCATATAATATTCGTCTCTGTCTCTCATGCTTCAATTTTTTCTTCCAATAATTTCTAAGCCTTCAATTATTCCTTTACACTCGTAGTTTTCAAAACTAAATTCATCATTCATCAACATCATAATCGTATTACAATAAATTACGGAATAAAAATAGATAATATAATAAGGTATAACGATTTAATAAAAATTAAAAGAAAAATTCATGTGTCCCACGACTATAATTATTTGAATGGTGAGTATGAGTTATTTAAAATGTCAAAGATTCGGGATTACAAAAAAAAGAAGAAGGAAATATTGGAGGATTTAGACATGTTGGTCACTAAATCACTAACATCACATCACAACGATATGGTTTCTAGAGGCTCACACTGCCACCATAAAATGTTTTATACTGTCTTCATAAATCATAAAACTCAAATAATTATCAACTCTTTTACCAGCTTTATATAATATTATTATCTTAATAAGTAAAAAGGTAAGCATTCATGATAGTATAGTTTTTTATAATAAAATATATTAATAAATACAATATTAATAGTGCTTTCTAATTAGTCAATTGGGTATATAATTGAGTGTATATATAAAATATTTTACCACACTAATTTATAGAAATTAAAACAGTATTTTAATAGAGTTTTGTGAGTTAATTATTGGGCATGGGCCACGTATAGCCACCACTTGAACAGTGTTAAAATTGAATAATTTTATATATTTTGATGCTTTTGGGTCTCTTTAAGGTTTGTGGAAGTCAAGTCAAGCAAAAGATTTGTGCAGTAGTGGCGTTATATTACGTACACAGACAATTTTTAATGATGCTCAACTTATTTTATTTTTTTAATTGGTAAAGCACCAAGAATTGTTGACAATGATACGTTATAATTGATAAATAAGGGCTCAAATTAAACTGAAAAATTAATGGTAGTAGACATCGTAATCAACCTAGAGTTCCGCTTTTAATGGAATCTAATAATTGAACCCTGCGTTTACACCACCAAATCAGGAAGTGGAAACAAAACATCCTTGAAAAAATCATTCATATAATAATCCTTTTATTCGCTTATAATAATTCTGAAATAAAATTAAAAAAATCTTTGATTGTGATCCAAATGGGCTTTAGTATATATCTCTATTGTGCAATGGACTTAATCTCAATATCTCTCATAAAGTCATAATTGCGATTTTCCTTGTTAATCAATGCTTGTTTTTTGTCTCGTTATTGTAATATAACTAACCTTCTTCTAATAGTAGGTATGTTCTAATTGTTGACATTTCATTTATGTGAACAATTATAATAGTCCAAAAATTAACATATACTTTACAAACATTAACATTCTAACATGCAAGATTTTAATTTAGAATAATTTAATATAAGTTAAAAGGTTTATATAAGAATTAAGAGAGACAATGTCAAACTCTCTCCAATTAATAAATTGTTTGTCCAAAAGAAAAAATATTATAAAAAAATACATAAGTCTTGGTTGGAACCATTTCTGTTCTATTTTTTAAAATTTAAACATTAATTTACGTATTTTTATATTGTAAATTCAAGCGTAAGAAAGGCGTAGTTTGATAATATTTAACTCGCTTTTCTGAAAAACTTGTTTATTTTATGTTTTGGTTTTAACTAAAAAAAAATCACATCATTCATTTTATTTATAAATTTTCAAATCTAAATAAAAGTTTATATTTTTATCTGTTTGCTTTTAATATTTGTTAGTCTAGATATAATATTACGCAAGTGTTTGGGACAATAATATTTCTATCTTTTATTTTCACCATTTATAATGTGATTTGGTATTTCCAACTCAAAAATCATAAAACAAATCGCATTGCTTACTCTATGTTTTTTATTTTTTATTTCACAAACCCAACTAAAAATTTATATTTTTATCGTTTTCTTGTTAATCTATATACTACCATTGTTAATGTAGTTGTGGTTTGGTGACAGGTGGTTCACCACAAATGAGGATTCTAGCTTTATTTATTATTATTATTGTTATTATTTTAAAAAGGACAACTTTCCAATGTTAGTGTTAACTGAATAAGAAAAGGAAAGAAGGGTGAATGCATGATAACGTTAACATGATTAATTAGTTTGAAATAACCTCATTATCCACTTTTAGAAAAAAGCAAAAAAAAACATAATGGCTTTATTATAGGGCATCATCATGATAACTTTTATAATGCTTTGTCGAAATACCTAAACACTAGCCCTATGAATGGGTCAAATCTAAATTCCCTATTATAAATTTCAACACAAAGATTGTATTAATAACTTTTAGTCTCCATCTTATTTTTTTTATATCGTTTGCAATTGTTATACATTCCATAATTTTAATTACACAACATGATATTGTTCTAAAATATTCAAAAAATACGTAAAATAAAAAATAAATAAATATAAATGTAGAATAACAACCACAAAAAATAAAAATGCAGTGCAAGTAATATTTAACACATCTCTAACACGTTTATGCACAAGTGTCTCAATTTAAAGTACGCTCTGATAGGTTTCTCACCAACCCATTAATTTCTTCATGCATGCTTAATATCTCATGTACAACTTAAGGGAATTGACTTCTTATTTTTCATATGCATTTAGTAATATAATATTAATATCAAACTCATTTTTATTATGGATATTAAAACATTTACAATATAAAATAAAAGCATGGAAATGTGTAACAAAATGAGGATTATGTTTGTTGAGTTATATTTATTTAAATGATGTGTTTTTTATATTGTTAGAAAGTTAAGAGGAAGATTTTTATATATTTAAATTATGTATTTTTCATATTTAAATTAAATTATTTTTTATTAATATTAAAAATGGTTAAAAACTAGGTTATCAATTATATAAAAAGTTATATAGTAATTTAAGGTGTTAGAAATAAATTAGACTAAATAAAAAAGTTTATATCTTAAATTAAATTAAGTCATTTTATGTTAGGCTTGTTTAAATCATTACTTACATGGTTAGTTTGTAAGTTTGTGAAATAATTCATTTTATAAATAATATTTTTTAATACGAATAAAAGTAATTTTACTTTATTAAAAAATATATATCTATTATATATTAATTTAATTAGAAATTTACTTTAAATATAAAAAAATTAATATTTACTTATTAAATAATCTAATAATTAAGATAAATTACTATTAAATCACTAAATTATTGAAATATTTATTAATTAAAAAAATTATTTAAAAATTTAATAAATATCTTATTTTATAATTTATATATTAAATTATTATATTTTAGATAAAAATTAATTTTATTAATATAATTTAAATTTTTTAATTAATTATTTTAATGTAAACATATTAATATTTTTTAAATTTTGAATCAAATCAAAATTAACCCATTAATTCGAGATAAGATTAAATTAGACCGAATAACATGACACATTTTAACAAAATTTATGTTTTACCTTAAAAACAAATCCTACATTGACTTAAATACTCTCTCTCTCTCTCTCTCTCTATATATATATATATAACACGATGATCACTGTTACTATTCTTAATGTTAAAAACTAATGTAAAAACTCATCTAAAGAAAGTTCTTTACATTTTTTACAGACAAAATTATTTTTAAAGAAATATTTTAATGAGAAAATAGAAACAAGAAACCAAGATTGAATAGATTATATTTATCCAACTCAAAGTATAAAGGTCTGAATGTTTTCAAATTGAGTTAATCAAAAGTTGTCATATTCACATATTTTATTATAAAAAATAAGGAGTTAATTGAGATGCGAATTTTTTGTTAATATCCCATGTTTCAATTTGACATGTTGGAGACATGAAAATTTGAGGGTTCTAATGATGTTTTTGTCATTATATTTCTTAAAATATCCTATTAGTCCTATATTTTAATTTGCAACATATGAACTGTGATGTGATTTTGAAAATCTTTTGAAAATAATAAATATTTTATCTTTAAAAAGTTTAATTTTAAAGCATGCTTAACTTAAACATAACATTGAAATTCTTCAAAATCTGTCTTTCCTCAAAAAGTGCATTCGATAGAATTTTCTTGACGATAATCATCGAAGTTTGTGTCAAATATGACGAAACAGTATTCGAGAGTATACTACAGATTTTGAAAATTTTGGTAATATGAAGACTAAACACATTTTCGAGATGAATAATTTGAAGGAGTAGTACGTTGAAAGTTTTATTTCTCAAAAGCATCATTGAAAGCTATTTGGGACACTGAAGGTCCCAAAATTTTAATTTTTTTATATATATTTATAATTTTAACCTTAAATTTAATGATAATTCCTTTATTTTATTGTTTTTTTATAAATATTTTTAAAAACGGTTTGACGGAATATCTTTCATCCAAGATAAAATGTTTTGCATAGAAATATATGTATTTTTTTAATTACAAAATGCATAAGTGTTATGTTTCCTTTAATTTATTTATTTGTAATGGAAACTACATTTTAGTATTTATCTTTTGCTTATAAATTCAAAATAAATAAATCATTTACCATTTGAAGTATGAGAATGGACATAATAAAGGTATACAAGATGATGACATATGTTGAATTATTGAAAACGTACCAAAATTATCGATTGCAGTATAGTATTTTGATTAAATAAAAGTTGATCCTACGAAAAACGGTTTTAATGGAAATTTCAAATTATATGCTTACTAAGTAGATTAAAACAAAATGAATTTTGCATAAAAAGTTGAATTGAAATTAAACGATACAGAACTGTAAATTGTTTAGAAAAGATCAATTAAAGACACTTATGATTGACTTTCTTCCTTATCCCTCTTTTGCAATGACTATGTCAATTAAGAACATCAATTAACCTAACAATGTTGATTTCACATACTCAAATAATCTATGTTGATTTCCACATGAAATTCATAAGAAAACCTAAGAAATGTTGATTTCACACACAACTAAGAGATTTTCCAGCATTAGGTTTAGGGTGTTAAGCAATTGATACATTCATTCCATTTCTGACAATTAACGTAACAAATATTTTTATTGTGATCTAGGGTTCGAGAAATATTTTTCACTCATACCCCAAACATCAAGAATAAATCATTCCAAAGCACAAAAGATATGAATAACAACATTAAAATATAGATTAATATATCAAAATATCACTATGATACAAAAGAGTTCAAAGAAAGTGCATCAAATCCTAAGAGAATGAAGTTAGCCACTCATGGTGGCCATTACAATGCTCTAAATGTGAAAGAAGTGAAGAATTTATGAAGATTGGACGAAACCCTAGTAGTAGTCGTGTCTCTTCTCCCCAAAACCGTCTCCTTTTCTCAAAACACATCTTACCTTTTTATAGGAAAAATTGAGCCTCGCGTCTTTCGCTCAAGCGACAACACTCGCTCAAGCGAAAATTCTCTATTTTCGTTCAAGCGAAAGTTCTCTATTTTTGCTCAAGCGACAAAGTAGTGAATTCTAGAGAAGAATAACTAATTTTCGCTCAAGCAAAATTAACGGTGCTTGAGCGACTAACTTCCAGAGAGTTTTAACTAATATTTGCTCAAGCGAGAGTCTATCTCGCTCGAGCGACTTCCATGCTGAAAATTTTCTTCCTCCTTTCGGTTTTGCTCCAATTATGTTGACAATTATGCTCCTTACTCTTGTATCAAGATATTCTCGAATTCATCCTACATTCGGAGAAAAATATATTAGAATTGACACAAGTTAAGTGATTTTATACAATTAAAAGCATAATTATATTAACTTTTTATCACTTAACAACTTCCCCCTGAAAGTGATGAAGATCTTATTGAATTACTTTGGCAAAGATCTTGTTGATTTGATGAAGTAAAAAATGAAGTCAAAGGCTACTTTGTGGCAGTCAAATGTCACTTAGATAAAAGGGTAGTGTGATTAGTGAGTCTACATCTCTGCTTAGGTATAATCATTTTTATCTCTCTGCTGCATGAGGTTTCTTCATTTAAAAGATTTTGCAAATGCCTCTAAAACGTGTTTAAACGGTTAAAAACAAAGTATTTTGTTAAAAGGTTTTTGAAGAAACTATTTTAACTAATAGTATATGAGCTTTATCAACTAAAATGTTCTTCACACTTTTGTAACAGGTTTTTAACTGATATGTTTTCGAAATAATCGATTGTTTTCATTAGAAGGATTTTTGAAAACCTTCTGCCAGTATTTTAACTGATATAGAATTGATATAATCGATTAAAATGACTTAGACTATTTTGAAAAGTGTTCTGGCAGAATTTTAATCGATACAAACTCAAAATAATCGATTGAAATAACTTGAAATGTTTTGAAAATTGTTCTGTCAGTATTTTAATCGATACAAATGCGAAATAATCGATTAAAACAACTAAGAGGTTTTTCCAGAATGTTTTAAATCGATTAAAACAAGTTTGCTATCAGTTAAAATAACTTAGAAAGTTTTATGAAATCTTTTGGCAGAATTATAATCAATTAAAATGCGTTTCAATCGATTAAAATAACTAAGTGAATTTTTTTCCAAAGGTTTTAATCGATTAAAACAAATTGTTATCAGTTAAAATCACTTAGAAAAGTTTATGAGAATGTT